TAAAGATCAAAAGTGGAAAATGTGTGTATAATGTATAGTAATAATAATATGTAGTATTCTTAGTATGAAGTAGAGTATGAAGGAAGAAAAATGCAAATAAGAAACAACGGGGCAACAAGGATAAATATTCTAATGAAGAATAAGGGGGGAAATGTAAATAATAGAAGATTACTGTTACGAAATTGCTGTTAAAAAGGGAGGAGTATATACTGTGTGTGTATGTGTGCTATGTTTTGTTTTGTTTTGTTGGTTTAAAAATAAAAATATAAAAAAAATAAACTTGTAAAAAAGAAAAAAAACATAACTCTTGTATGTTCATATATGTGTCTATATTATAACTTTCTGGGATATAATTGCTAGAACAGCATGGCACAAGAACAAGAACAAGTTTTTAAATTAAGATTCTAAATCTTGGCAGTGAAAAACAAGTTTTGTACTGATCCCACACATTATTTTTGAAAAGACTTTAAATCTTTTCTGTGTATAAATTTCAAAGAGTATGAACAGAAAGAAAGACCTTTCAAAAAATAAACAGCTTTAATTCCACAGAATAAAAACAAAATGGTTCAAGAAGTAGGAGATGATAGAATCTGAATTTTTATGCTTATGTTGGTTTCACATTTTTAGCAGTAAGGACAAACCTGTTCTGATATTCTTGCAATACTTGATAGATGCTAATCAGAAAGGTTTGATTTTTAAAGCCTCCAAAAACACAGTCCTTGTAGATTCGGAATTCAGCAGCGGTAACGGCCTCTCCTTCTGGAATCTGAGACAAATTAAATTTGAACTCCTTGTGATGATGCTGATAAGGCAGGAATTCCTTGTCATATTCAACTGTATAAAAAACAAGAAGATGACAATTATAAATTAACCATAAATTCTATGCTTTCCCTTGCAGACTAATTTTCAGAAATAAAGATTGCATTTGTTTGGTTTTAATGACAAACTTGCCTCAGAAAAACTAAAATAAGGCAGCTGAGACATCTAGGAAAATTATATTTTATAAAATAAAATAATCAGAATTGGGCAATTTCATGTTAGCAAAAATTTGCATAGAATCAGTTAGGGAAGCATAATGGATTGCTCCATTTAACATAATGAACATGTTAACACTTTCCACATCCTCTGCAGTATCGCTCACCCAAAACAGCATTAGTTATAATAATAATTCCAATCACTTATAATTCATTTCTGTCACTTCCAGGATGAATATTATGATAAAAAAAATCTAGTGACCAAAGGAATACGGTAGTAATTGCAGGAGTCATTCTGTTCTTTTCTGTTAGCTACAATACTCAGCTGCTACTAAGTGTTTACCTGGGATGAAGAACAATTTAGACACTGCCACTGAAACTTTTTGATCCAGATATTACTAGAAATTGCTGGTTTCTATTACTAGTAACTGGAATTCTACATATGTTAAAGGCTTCTTATACTCTGGGGTTCACTCATATAAAGAAATTGAAATGAACATATACAATCAGCATTAGCTTCTGATAAGACTTGGATCAATGAGTTTCTGCTTTAGTATTTCAATTATAGGTTAGCTGAAAAATTCAAAGATTCTTTGATCTTAAAATGCAGTTAATACGATACACTGATCAAATCACCACAGCGAACACAAATAAAATTACTTCTAATCTGCTTATGGCTGATAGAAGTTTGAACCTTAATTCATGTGGCTTAGACTTATTATCACTATGGCAAAAGGGTGAACTTTATGTTTCCTTGATCACATCCTATACCTTTTTTGGATTTTCTTGTATTTGGCCTTTTTTCTAACTGGGTGCCAGTCAAGATCTCCAAAGAATGCCTTCTTGATTCAGCATTTTTCTGCTCTGTAGGCACACTGCCATTGTCCATTCTATTTTGGTATTATTTTTCTCCATATCCCTGTTTCTTATCTAAAACAAGAACTCCTTCTAGCCTTCTATTGATGTTCAACCTGTAGTATGCTACTAAGTTTCATTGAGTTTTATGGCTCTTATTCTTAGATAAGGATGCAGAGGCTGCGGTTGTATGGAACAGATATGTTTAACCCAGCTTGCTCTATGTAAGCTAGGGATGGAATTGTTTGGGTACTGGGCTGACCTTTTTTGTAAAAAGAAAATAAGTGAGTTATTGTGCTGGGCTGTGAATACAATGAAATCTATATACACTTTCCTGGCAGCATGTCAAACTAAGTTCTAGTGACTCTTCCTCCTAGGGAAGCACACATAGGATCTAGTTCCTTTAGTTAATCTTTTAGGTTTATTTTCCTTTCATTTACAAAGGATTCTAATTTTTCAGAGTTCTCATTGATGTAGCACTTTCTCTGGTTGAGGGGACTAACTTACTGCAGACCATACTTTTTAAAAGCAGGCATCAAGAGTTGCTCATGTTCTCATCTACTTGATGGAATGCAGATAACTCTTGCCTGCCTTGTTTTACCCACCTGCTTTGTACATCCTGCTTACTGAACTGCTTTCAACAGTATCTTCCTTTATTTCCTATATTATCAACCACAATCCATATGTATTTCACATAAATGAAAAAAAAACAACAATGCCTAACCAATATCTGGAGATGGTGAAAAAAATTTTAGTATGTTGAGTTAATTAACTTAAAAATTGACAAATATCCAAACTCATTAGATCAGGGGTGCCAAACTGCCGGCCCACGGGCTGGATGCATCATAGTGAAACCACACCCATCCCATTGCCGGCAATGTCACGATATGTCGCGACACATCACATGACATTGCGAGTTTGACACCCCTGCATTAGATAGGATAGGAACCCTTTATGGGAAATCTTATTACAAAAAAAAAAAGAAGTTATCCAACTGTGCAAGTGAAAAAAATATGAAACTAGTAAGTTTGTCTTATCACAGACACATTTATAAAATAATTTCTCTAATATTATTTAACTTATACAGTGAATATATTATAAAAATGATCACACTGGAAAAGGTGATAGCTGAAATGAAATTTGGAGGTCCAAATAGCAGCAACAGCAGATATCTAGACACTGTCACTTCATTATCTGAAAGCAATAAAGATTTTAAAAAATATATTTTGAAAATAAAAACAGAAAGTGAAAAATATACGTTAACATGAAAAATAAGGATGATAAAGGTAAAACATCAACCTATACACTCAATGAACTTACACTGGATGGCAACAACATAACAGTAATAAATATTTTGTTTCTTAAGAGTTAAACACACCTGAAGATTGATGATATGCTGGCAAAGCAAAGAGGCAATTAATTGTAGGGAGGAAGGCAATAACAAACATAAACAAGATAAGGCTATATCTATAATAATAAATATCAGACGACTTAAATCAGTGCTCTTTTCATTGGTAATACATGGCTGTGAAAGCTAGAGAGATAAGGAAAGAAAAAGAGGTGGTGGTTTTAAATTATGGACTAGAAGTAGAACCTTCATTAATTTTGTGAGAAATAAAGATTGCTTCCTTGACTCAGGGATCAGCAAACAAAAACTCACATGCCTTGTGCATGTGATATAAATCAATGACAGAAACAATTATGCTAAAAACCACTATATCACATATATATACAATCCACTAATATCTGCTGCTTTCTTTTATTTCTACTTATAAAACTTATATTGTTACTAGTTCAATGATAAGCTAAATGCAGCTTTAAATCAGCATATTGATGCATTGATCATCAAAACTGCACTTTTCAATAACATTTCCATTTATCATTTAATTGTCTTGTCAGAAAAAAATAGAATTCTTATTAGCATGTAGCTATATATTTTGAAGAATATTTTTTAAAGAAAAAGAGATGGGAGCTACTCATTTTACAGTAGTATTTTGGCACAAGTCATTTTTAATACATACTTACTCTAAAGGTGAAAAATCAGTCCACTATAAAATGTAATACAATGTCACTATAAGGAATATTACATTTGCTGTACTTTCCATTATTCAGTGTATATAACCAATAACTATTCCAGGTTAGCAAGCCTATAGTAAGTAGTCATGATTTTGCAGATGTGGCATAAACTATGATTATCTGAAAAGAGATATAAAAAAGCTTACAGATTCTCTTTCCACACATAGGGTTTTTAAATTAATATCCCTGATGAGTTAGAACATACTTGAAATGCCTCAGTCCATCTGATAAAGAGATTGGATGCTGCAATCCAGTTCCATTCTTACTCTAAAATATGCAGTTAAAATTTCTTCAAGAAATCCACTTCTCTATAAATATAAATAGTAGTTCACAAAAAGTCAGGAAAAGAATACATTGTGGTTATAAAGCCCAAACTCTGGGTAAATATTCTTTCTCATGTGAAAAAAGGAAACAAATAGTATTACCCACAAGTAAAAATAGTTTACTTAATTCTAACACTGAAGTACTATTGTGTTGAATATATCAAAAGAAACTGCTTATTCTAATACAGGAAATCATGAGATATTCATAGTTAACATTATAAAAAACACAAGCTTGCTATGATACATAATTTGTGTCAGTCCTGTTGATTGGTTTACGTAGTCCTTAAATACTGTGGAAGTATAAATATGATTAATACTGGAGAACCATAATAATGTATTTACCCTGGAAAGTTATCTAAATCATTATTGAATTCTCCCAGAGATGGATGGATGGATGTAATGTATGTATGTATGTATGTATGTATGTATGTATGTATGTATGTATGTATGTATGTATGTATGTATATAATACCTCAAGTTCAATGTTTTTCATTCAGGAAGAAAATATTCATTCTATGTTCTTATATTCATATTTATATTCACAAGATGTAAAATGAAGAACAAAATATTCAGTGAGTAGGTGTATTGGCAAACAGCAATTTTTGAACATTCCCTATCCTTGTGGTTTTTAAATACCCAAGGAAAAAATCAGTAGAACAAACTAGTCTAGACCATAGATTTTTTTTGGCTATTTTATGCTACTTTATTATAATCAAAATTAATGAATTTCATGTTTGGCTTTAAAAAAATAAACCACAAATGTGGCACACTCTTTTGTATTCATTTTAAATAGAATTTTACAAAAATGCCTTCCAGAACAGTGATTATTTTGAAAGAAAATTTTGCTTTCGGAATGCCAGTATAATTCCTTCTTGTTATACCATGTTGGTTTAAACCAGGGGTGTCCAGCTTTAGCAACCTGTGGACTTCAACTTCCAGAATTCCCCCACCAGACTCACGTCACTTGTTGTCAGGCAGAAGTCTATTTCAGTTCTGTATTTGATAATAAACAAAGACCAAAAGGAAAATAATGTCTCAAGAAAAGCTGAGATGCAGAAGCAAGCAGTAATGTTCTCTGACCAGTGACAGTGAAGCAAAGAAACTCTGACCCATGTTTTGGTGATGCATCTTTTCATAAGAAGTCATAATAATGATCACTCATCGTTTCCTTGCCATCCTCTTTACTTGCTTAAATTTAGATGCCTCAGTGTGCCTCCAAACAAGGGAGACCATTCACAGCATTTATCTTCCTGCCAGAGGTTTCAAATACAGAAAATCAAAAACTATGGTGCAGCAGCAACCTAATAAATTCAACCTTTGATTACACTGGACAGGACGTTTCTAATGGAGGACAACCGAGAGTTTTTACTTGCTCCCCTTGGACAAAGACTAAAGTATTTATTGTCTTTCTGTCTATGAAGATCTTTATTTTCTCTATTGTATGTTAGCTTCTTGCTGGGCTTTTTTAAATCCAAAACTGTCTCCTTTTTCTCTATTTCTATAGAACGTGATACTACAGTTAGTATATTTTGCTCTGTTTAAAAATAGGAGAGAACTGAGGCATAAAGCCAGAAAGCCTAGACTAAAAGAGCTTACCTATAATCTG